TCTAGGTCAGGGAAATCGGCCATTGATGATCCTTCAAATCCTTATTTCTTGCATCACTCTGATAGCCCTGGGCTGGTCCTCGTCTCACAGCCACTCACCGGAGATAACTACGCCTCCTGGAACAGAGCGATGATCATTGTGCTGTCCGTCAAGAACAGGCTTGGATTCATTGACGGATCTATCGAGAAACCATAAGGTAATGACGTAGTCCTTCTAAATTCATGGATTAGGAACAATAACATTGTAATCTCATGGATTCTGAACTCAGTTTCCAAAGAGATTTGTGCTAGCATTATTTTTTCTGAATCTGCTCGAGAAATCTGGATTGATCTCCAGGATCGGTTCCAACAAAGTAATGGACCGAGGATTTTTCAATTACGACGTGATTTAACCAATCATAGTCAAGAACAAAATTCTATCAGTGTTTATTTCACAAAATTGAAAACTTTATGGGAAGAATTAAGCAATTTTAGGCCCCAATGTTCCTGTGGAAAATGCACTTGTGGTGGAGTCAAAGAACTCAATGCCTATTATCAGATGGAATACATCATGGCTTTTCTCATGGGATTGAGTGATTCATTCTCCCAAGTTCATGGTCAAATTCTGATGCTGGATCCATTACCTCCCATCAACAAAGTTTTCTCCTTGATTTCCCAAGAAGAGCGCCAAAGGAAGATTTCCACTACTTCTAACACTGATAATCTAAATAATGTGGCATTTACTGTTGACATGCCTTTTTGCACCCATTGCAATTACCATGGCCATACCGTGGATAAGTGTTATAAGATTCATGGCTACCCTCCAGGCTTCAAACAACGTCAGAAACCTACTCAAGCATCTGCCAACCAGGTTGCAACGCACCTTGGGACAGCAGATACAACCAGCAAGGCCTCTGCAAACGCTGGAGATTTTCTGAACCATCTCAACAGTAATCAGTGCCAGCAGCTGATGGCTTTGCTCTCGAGCCATTTAACTATTTCTGCCACTCTTGCGGATCAACCGGATTCTGCCAACTCATCTTATCTAGCAGGTACTTGCTTATCAATCTCTCTCAATCCTATTCTTTCTTCTTCAAGATACTGGATTGTAGATTCTAGTGCCTCTAGGCATATTTGCTGTGATACACATGCTTTTGTGGCTCTAAGGCCTATAGCCAATTCTACTGTCACCTTGCCGAATCATATGAGTATTGGCATCCATTTCAGTGGAGATATTAAGTTCAACTCAGGATTAATTCTCAAGGATGTCTTATATGTTCCCCAATTCAAGTTTAATTTGCTTTCAGTCAGTGCCCTTACTTCTAATTCTCAGCTTACAGTCACTTTCTTTCCTGGTCATTTCCTAGTCCAGGATGCCAACAGTCAGACGATGATTGGCAAGGGTAAAAGGTTGACAGACCTTTACATTCTTGATTCTACCACTTTGCAGCCTATTTCACCTTCAAACTCCATTCCAACCAACTCTTTCTCAGTAAATTCAGTTTCAGCCCGTGTATGGCATCATAGGCTTGGCCACCTATCTCATAAAAGATTGGAGTTGCTTAAAGACAGGCTGAAATGTTTCAAGCTGGACAATTCCACTCCATGCTACATATGTCCTTTAGCTAAGCAAAGACGCTTATCTTTTGTTTCAAATAACAACATGTCTATGTTGCCTTTTGATTTGATTCACTGTGACATTTGGGGGCCGTATCATGTAACTGCTCATTCAGGGCATCGATTTTTTCTTACCTTAGTTGATGATTGTACTAGATTCACTTGGATTTTCTTACTCAAACAGAAATCTGATGTGGCTCATGTAATTCCTAGATTTTTTCACATGATTGAGACTCAGTTTGATAAGAAAATAAAATAGTTCAGGTCTGATAATGCTAAGGAATTAGTGTTTGCTGATTTTTTTTTCTGAACAAGGTGTTTTGCATCAATTTTCCTGCATAGACACTCCTCAACAGAATTCTGTAGTAGAAAGGAAGCATCAACACTTACTCAATGTTGCTCGAGCTTTGTTTTTTCAGTCTCGTCTCCCTCTTACTTACTGGACTGAATGTGTCCTCTCTGCCACATACTTAATCAATCGGACACCTTCTCCGTTGCTTCAAAATAAGACCCCTTATGAAGCCTTATACAAGTCTCAAGTTGATTACTCTTTTTTTAGAGTGTTTGGTTGCTTGGTCTTTGCATCTACTTTAAAGGCTCATCGCACTAAGTTTCAGCCTAGAGCTAGGCCATGTGTGTTTATTGGCTATCCAACAGGCATTAAAGGATACAGGCTACTAGATATTCAGTCTAAACAAGTTTTTGTTTCAAGAGATGTTGTTTTTCATGAAGATGTTTTTCCCTTTCATCAATTGCATTCTCTGGACCCTCCTATTGATCCATTCCCTGATTTGGTTATTCCAAAACCAATTCTTGAGCCTTCATCTTCGCTGGAACATTTCACCTCTCATTCACCAGGACACCTTCCATCTCCTCAAGATTCAATAATGATTTCTCCTAGACGATCTTCCCGAGCCATTAAACCTCCATCTTATCTCCGTGACTATCACTGTCATTTACTCACCAATCCGTCTGCCACTTCTCATTCTCATCGTGAGTATCCCTTATCCAATTATGTCACTTATAATTCTCTTTCACCCTCTTACCAAACTTTTGCCTTGACCGTGTCATCTCTTTTTGAGCCACGATTCTACCATCAAGCTGTTAAATACCCTAAGTGGAGAGAAGCTATGCGAGCTGAATTAGAGGCCATGGAAGCTAACAAGACGTGGTCTGTTGTTCCTCTACCTCCAGGGAAGCATACCATCGGTTGTAAATGGATCTATAAGATCAAATACAAATCCGATGGTTCCGTTGAACGTCACAAAGCTAGATTAGTTGCAAAGGGGTATACACAACAAGAGGGTGTGGATTTCCTGGGCACATTTTCTCCGGTAGCAAAATTGGTGACTGTTAAAGTCTTATTGGCTCTAGCTGCGCGTTCTTCATGGCATATGGTTCAATTAGATGTCAACAATGCATTCCTTAATGGGGATTTGTTTGAGGAAGTTTACATGGATCTTCCACTTGGATATCGTAGTAAGGGGGAGATCCTTGAGCCGGATAGGAAGCTTGTTTGCAAATTATACAAGTCCATTTATGGACTTAAACAAGCTTCACGCCAGTGGTTCTCCAAGTTTTCTGCCGCACTTCTACACTTTGGTTTTGCTCAATCAAAGTCTGACTATTCCTTGTTCACAAAAGGATCTGGATCTTCCTTCGTGGCTTTACTAGTTTATGTGGATGACATTATACTCACAAGGCCATCCATGGAAGTTATCAACTCTCTCAAAATTTTCCTCCATAGCCAATTCAAACTCAAGGACTTAGGAAATTTAAAGTATTTCATAGGCCTTGAAATTGCACGTTCAACCAAAGGCATAGTGCTTTTGCAGCGACAATACACTTTACAGTTACTTGAAGATACTGGATTTCTGGCATCCAAACCTACTTTGGTTCCTATGGATCCTCATGTAAAGCTCTCGGCTACAAATGGAGAACTCTTGACTGATGTTTCTCAGTATCGTCGGCTCATAAGTCGGCTACTTTATCTCACACTCTCTAGGCCCGACATCACCTATGCTGTTCATCGCTTGAGCCAGTTTGTTTCCCAGCCTCAGTCTCCTCATTTACAAGCTATTCATCATCTCATGCGTTATCTGAAAGCTCATCCAGGTCAGGGGTTATTTTTTTCTTCTTCATCTCCTATGCAACTTAAAGCTTTTTCTGATGCTGATTGGGGTTCTTGCCCGGACTCTCGCAAGTCAACCACTGGATTTTGTGTGTTCTTAGGGGATTCTTTAGTCTCCTGGAAGACAAAGAAGCAGCCAACCATTTCTCGTTCATCGGCTGAAGCTGAGTACCGAGCCTTGGTTGCCACTACAAGCGAGTTAGTGTGGTTAAAACAGTTGCTCACGTATTTTTCTATTGTTCTCTCATCCTCTGCTCTTCTCTTTTGTGACAACCAGGCTGCAATTCATATTGCTTCTAATCCTACGTTTCATGAACGTACTAAACACATCGAGATTGATTGTCATTTTGTTCGTGATCAAGTTACTGCAGGGTTTGTCAAACTTATGCCTATTCGGACACAGCATCAGTTAGCAGATCTTTTTACCAAAGCTTTACCAGCTATATCTTTCTTCTCTCTCTTGTCCAAGATGGCTGTCAAGGACATTTACAGTCCATCTTGAGGGGGAGTTTTAGGATAATCAAGTTGTGATGAGCTGGAACATTTTCTTGTAACAGTTTTTGTTTAAGTTGTTAGACTTTCTGTTGTAATGTTATTCTTGTTATTGATGCACTTCCTAGTTATATAAAAGGAAGTACTCATTGTACAAAGCAAGTGAGAAATACACAATACATATTTTTCATTTCTTTTTCTCTTTCTTCTCCCGAGACAGTTTCAGTTTCAATAATATATATGAGAAGGATTACTACACATCTAAGTATATACGTCAAACCTATTTACGTGAAAAATTGCAGATTTTGGCAAAAGTCATCGAACCATTGAATTCAATTTAAAGGGGGAAAAAAATAGTCGATCCATTGAAGACTTTAGATCTCCTACACGCACAGTAGTCGCTTTTGTAAATATATCTTTTTTTCTTCTTAGAATAGGGTCGTCGTTTGTACATTTAACGCGTTCTCTTTAACAAATATGATTCTTGCAAATTTTTATCGTTGGACAATGATACAAGAAAATAGTGGAAAAAACGGCCCTATGTGTGACACCATTATATTTTGTCTCTATAATATTACGAGGTAAATGTCATTGTTGTCTCCATGCACAAGCAACTGAAAAGGGGGAAAAAAGAAGAGGAAACTGAAATTACTAGAAACTATGAAAACAAAAAATGGAGAATACGACCTCGATAAGGTAAAAGCCCGATTTTTGAATGGAAAAATTTTATTTAATAATTAAGTCAATGCAAACTCTAAAATAGTCAAAAATAACCACCAAATCTAAGAGTATTCAGCCGCGGACAAAGACGAGTAGGAATGTTGAGTCCCAATGGGGAAAAACTCGCTTGGTACATTAATAATCGAGCACGACAAAAGCTTATTTAACAAAACCACTATGATTGATGGATAAAACCAGTGAACCGAGAGTAAAAGACTCAGAGCATCAGAATCACTCACAATACCACATAAGATCAAACCTAACGGGATAAACCTACAACCAACACAGAAAGGTAAGACAGCAACCTTCGTTATTACATGATGAAAATGTAAAAACTGAAACGATGGAATTAACATCGCCTTTATTTCATCAAAATATAAGCTAAAAACGAGATAAAAATCGTCAGCTACACAGACAAGATCCTCAGCGATAAGTTGGCCACCAAGATCATAAAGGATAGATTAGCGATGACCCACACAACTCCACCACCGATGTTGAGGGCTCATCCATGCACAACTCCCCCCTTCATGACCACCGTGATAAGACGAGCGAGATCCTGAGATTATAGATACGCCGGAGATCTGGTATGCACAACATGGTCAGTTAAAAAACTAGTACGTCATATCCCTCCCCTCCGTCCACAAAGTCGCCACCACCACCATAATCATTGTCATGAGACCTAGAGCCTCGTCTCTAGAGCCGGGGGTTTGACGACCATCTAAGAGGCAGCGTCGGATTTCGGCCCTAAAAGAGAAAAACAAGCAGCACATAAAAAGAAAAGAAAGAGTCCCTAGAGATAGAAAGGGAGAGCCGAGAGCGGCATCTATGACCTCCCCTTTTTCTGTATGTAAAAGCCCTATTGTTAGTCTAAAAGTCCAAGAGTCATTATCTTTTTAAAAAGAATACCTGAAATACCACAAGATAGTAAAAAGTATTATTTATGTCACGCCATTTAAAAATAAACAATTATTATTTAATTATAAAATAATAAATAAAAGGTCATGATGACACTTAATTATTTAGGATGACATAAATTTACACATACACAAAACCATGACAATCTATGTATTTTTCTCCATTTTTTTTCCTATTATATATATATATATATATATTTTTTTTTTTTCAATATTACCTGTTTCCCCCATTTTACAAATAATAATAACTTGTTTTTAATAATAATAATAATAATAACTGCCGGGGGTAGCGTTTGAAACAGCTTTTTAGAAAACGACAAAATTTTGTGCAAACGGCAATGAATGAAAACGACAACAAAAAATGAAAAACATGGCAACAACATATTATGTAAACAAATTCTTAAAAAAAAAAAGAAATGCACTATTAAGGAACACATTATCTTATAACAGAAGGTTAGAGGTGTCAAACGTGCCGTGCCCGGCCGGCACGGCACGCTTGACACTAGGCTCATTAAGGGCCTGGGCCGTGCCAGGCACGGCCCTGCACAGTGCAGGGTTGTGCCTGGGCCGGGCCTGAGAAGAAAAACTCAGGCCCGGTCCAGGCCCTTGGCCCTAGTCCATAAGGCCATATCAAGAATAATACAGTGAGCAGGAAAAATGAACTTGTCCACACTTACCAGGACATCCTCGAATTGACCTGTCAGCCAGCTGCAAAGATACTGTGGTCGGCCTTGCTTCTCCAATACCCAACTTCTTGAATATGGACATCGGCATTAAATTTATGCTAGCTCCCAAGTCACACAATGCTCTTCCAAAGTATTGATTTCCAATAGAGCATGGAATAGTAAAACTTCCTGGATCCTTTAGCTTGGGCGGGAGTTTGTTCTGCAGAATAGCACTGCATTCTTCGGTCAAGGCCACTGTTTTAAACTCCCCAAGCCTGTGTTTCTTGGTCATGAGATCCTTCATGAACTTAGCATAGCTTGGCATTTGTTCTAAGGCTTCCACTAGCGGTATGTTGATGTGTAGCTGTTTCAAAACCTCTAAAAACTTGCAGAACTGCCCATCTTGTTGCTGTTTCTGGAAACGCTGTGGGAATGGTAGAGGTGGTCGGCTTCCACTAGGGTTGCTGGTCTCCGCTGATCCAGAATGCTGCGGAAATGCTGCAGCATTCTGCACATCAGAGTCTAGTTGCTAACTCCTGTGTTGTTCTTCTTGTGGCAGTGTTTTCTTCTCCCCCCCTTGGATTGAAGTGGGCTCTGTGTGAGCAGTCATAGGTTTTGCTTTTGATTCCAACTCCTTTCCACACCTTAGTGTAATAGCTTTGCAGTGTTCTTTTCCATCTCTTCGTGGATCTTCGGTATTGCTTGAGAGAGAACCTTGGGGCCTGTTGTTCAGAGAGTTTGCGATCTGTCTAACCTGATTTTCTAAATTCCGCAGTGCTGCATCATGGCTCTGGATTTTGGCTTCACTCCTTGAAATAAACTCTTTTAACAAGCTCTCCAAAGAGCTAGATTGTTCCACGGCTTGAGTTCTTTGTTGTTGCGGTGGATATCCAGGTGGATAGGTGCTTCTGTGGTAGGCATTGGGCTGACTAGTTCCTGCTCCCTGATTACTCCATGATAAGTTTGGATGTTGCCTCATCCCTTGGTTATGAGGATTTGAATAGTGATGACTACCCTTGTTGAAATTAGCAACATAGCATGCAGAGGCAGGGTTGGATGGGCAATCTTCATATTGGTGGCTATCTCCACAGTAAACACACGAAAAACCAGGGGTGTGCATTGCATTTACCCCTGCCGGTGTGTTTAATGCCTTTACCATATTCGTCAAGGATGACATTTGTGCTGAGAGTGCAGTGATGGCGTCAACCTCGTGAATTCCAGTGGCCTTCCTTGCATTATGCCTCTCGGTTGGCCATTGATAGTTGTTGTTTGCCATCCTCTCTAAAATCTCATATGCATCATTATAAGATTTGGCCAAAATGGCTCCACCTGCTGCCATCCACTATAGTTCGTGTTTGCCCATTGAGACCATTATAAAATGTCTCCATTTGAATCCAGTGGGGGATCCCATGATGAGGGCACTTCCGTAGTAGTTCCTTAAATCTATCCCATGCTTCATACAATGACTCCCTATCTGCTTGTTGGAACGAGGTTATGTCATTCCTTAACTTGGCATTCTTGGTTGGAGGGAAGTATTTCATGAGAAACTTTTCTACCAAAATCCAGTGGGGGATCCCATGATGAGGGCACTTCCGCAGCAATTCCTTAAATCTATCCCACGCTTCATACAATGACTCCCTATCTGCTTGTTGGAACGAGGTTATGTCATTCCTTAACTTGGCATTCTTGGTTGGAGGGAAGTATTTCATCATGAGAAATTCTGCCAATTCATCCCAAGATGCCACTGAATCCGGAAGCAAAGAATTCAGCCACACTCGCGCCCTATCCCTCAAGGAATAAGGGAATAGCTTCAACCTCAATAAAAGCATCGCTCCTATGTTGCGAAATGAATGAGATTAAAAAGTAAACAAATGTAAAACAAATTAACTCCTGTAAATATTTTTTTACGATTTCAATTCCCCGGCAACGGCGCCAAAAACTTGTTGCATGATAATTATGCTCGCAAGTGCACGTGTCGCTAACAAGTAATAAAGTGTACACAAGTACGGATATCGATCCCACGAGGAATGAATCACCAAAATATGTGTCTGGAGTTGTATAATCAACAAAACAAGTAAATGATGAATGTGGTGAGAAATTCACTAAAATAATGTAAATAAAATGAATGCAAACTAAATGCGGTCTAAAGTGACTAAGAGTAACAAGAATGTCGTGATGGAATGTAATTCAGTGGTGTAAATGAGCTAGGCCTGCTAATTTCCCCTCTACGGCAAGTCTGACTAGAATGTTACCAAGAATGCTGCAGCATTCTACTATCCTGTTAACAGAAACTCGTTGATGCATAAAGTTCTTCCGAATTGATTATGACTGTGGTCCTTTAAGCTATTTCCGACACATTCCTATGTGAATCCAGTTCTAGGACTGCAGATTTAAGCTCAGGTTTCATTAAGTTATGCAAGGTGGATAATATATTCCTATACCATCCACTAATCAACAACTCAGCAAGTTCACTGAACAAACATCATTCATGCTAATCCGATTAAAACTAACCCTTCCAGTATTAATCTCAATCTTGTATCCTAAGGTTGATGGCCAATCAAGAATAGAAATAAACATTAGCTCACATGAATGAACAGGAATAGTAGATTAATAGCATTTCAAAAACAACTTATCATTCTTACAATATTGGTTCCATTAGCAAGCCTAGCTACAACAACTTAGCTCATAATGATAGTTACAAGATCCAAAGCTCCAGTATAATCCATATCTAGAATTAGTAGCTAAATGACAACAAAAAGAGTTAAGCTAACAGAAGAAGAACAAGTTCAGCTGGATCTTGGAATCCTCTGTGGCCGGCCAACAATGTCCTTCAACTTCCAGCTCTCACGTCTCTGTATTTTCCTTCTAGGCTGAATATTACTTGATGTTCTGGTTTCTTAAGCTTTCCTCTGAAGCTTTTTCCTCTCTGAATAATGCCTTTTTGTGTTTTCTAGTGTCTTCGTACTCTCCTATGTGCTCTCGCTTCTCTGTGAAACAGCAACTTTCTTTTTATATTAATGCCTGATTCTCTCTCTTCCTCTTTTTCTCCCCCTGGCGGCTGCCAACCTGTCCTGAGAGAAACATTCCCTTCTAGGGAAACACAAGGGCTGAGGTGTCACTGCTGATGTGCATAGTGGACCCAATTGACACCTCCTCAGCCAGCTCACACAAATTCTTTTCTGTCTGCTTTGTCTAGCTAGTGCACTGACATCAATCAGCTGCCAGCTAATCCCAGAATGTCACCCAGAATGCTGCAGCATTTTTGCCCAGTAATTTCCTGCAAGGAACTCACATAGAATTAGCCA